CGAGGCGAAACGAGACGGGTCGGGACGACCGGGACAGGACGGGACGGGACGGATCTGGGCGGTTACGGGACGAGGGGGCCAGGACGGGACGGGGGACGCGGCCAGACCAGACGAGAAGGGGGCGCGGTCAAGATGGGGATCGGCAGAGACGAAACCGAGAGACGGTTTTCTCGCAGGGGCGGAGGGATGCAACTCGTATTCCGAAAACACTCGCGACCATGTGGACTGGACCTTATGGACACCTCGTACGATCGCTCTACCTTCTCGGTACATCGGGGGGTAAATTTTGGAATTTCGCAATTCGAGAACTTCAAAGTCCCGCATTCTTTCGCCACCCACTCGCTTCCCTCGTCTAAGAGCACCCTAACTACTCTTTTACCCCGATTCCTCGAAGCATGCGCGAGCACTACCTACTCGCCGAAGAGGCTTTATTCGGTGTAGGAGAAATCGTCGCGTAGGTTTCGCAACGTCTCGAAAGATTCGACGAGACGACAAAGTCGAAGGGGAAACGATAACGCCAGGGGGATCAGGGTGGAATATATTTCTAACGCGTATTGCATTTGACACGATACGCGCCGGTGCTCGATGCACACAGACACTTACAGGCGCACACGGACGAGGTGCAATCGTAACTTCTAACCGGTCGATATCTAATATTATTCGTAGTTACAGATTAAGTACGATAGAGGGTTAAACCTTATCCACTGATAGATATTTATAGGACGTGGAAGGAAGGATGGCATTATTGCGGCTCGTTGAAACCCCCGTCGAACTCGTTATATAATGTGACGTCGACATTAGGTAATTAGGAAGCGTCGCAAGCAGAAACGTTATCGCTGTCTTTGAAAAGGTTTCACTGGTTCGTTTGTCGGTTTTCTCTCTTTTTCTTCTCTTTCTCTCTCTCCTCTTTTCCGCGAACAAAGAGGATAACTCGAACGATCATAGAGCTCCGTTTTTCGCTTCTTCACCGTGTGCTACATATTGCTTTCGAATTATCTTCCTCGAACGGAATCTTACTCGGTTCGATCACGCGTCTCGAATTCTGCTTCGTATCGTTCCGAAACGAAGGTCACGGAACAGATTTTCAATTTCGCACGCGTGTTCGTGTTACGTTGGTCTTCCCTAGAGAAAAAGTAATGCGGAATATCCGAGGAAAGCGAGCTCGTTTTTCCTCCGCTTCGACAAAATTCGAACCAGAGATCTCGAATATTGGCAATTTTCGAGAAGAAATAGTTTTCGCTCGTCTTTTCATTTTGCAAATTTTTCTAGTCGGAAATGGAGTGTCTAAAGTTGCGCGCGTCGGTGTGTCGCAATAGTTGGCCATCGGTGATCTAGAGCCCTAAGGAGAGCCTAACATAGAATCTGCTATCATCGTAGATAAAGAATCTGAAGTAAGGCTTCCCCTCGACCGAGGGAAGCCTAAGTTGCACGAGACTGTACCCGAGGCTGTTCCATTGGTCGATTCATCGGCACACAGGAGACCCGGTCGAAAAGCAGCAGCCTCGTTCCTGGCACTCTCACCCTCTTTGCCGCGGCCATCTCTCAGCTGAGGAGCATTTCCGCCCTGCTGTTTTTGCTCGTTCAAAGAGAACGGACCTCTTAGCGGCAAAGCGGAGGGAAGCAAAACGGATACCCGGACTTAAATACAGTATCGTCGACGAGTGTTCCACGTCTTTTCTGTATGTGCACGCAAAAATATACCGGCGCATTTTCAATTTACTACTATTTAACTCGGCATGCCTGCTTTTATCAAACGATCCTATTTACGACTTGTCCTTCGCAACAATTCTATGCGGACGATTTCTTTTAAACGAGACTGGAATTCGATAAAATGTAGCTTGTCTTCTGAAACGAACGTAACAGAGACTTTTTCTCTCCACAGCTTGCCGGATGATGCACTTTTAAACGTTTCGGTTATTAACGCGAGGGTCAAACGGCTATGAAATAACAATCAAATTGGTCGATCAATTTTTCGAAGACAGCGACAACAGCGGTCGCCTTCTTTTTCTTCGGTTTCTTCGTAATCTGCCATCAGCGACGTCGCGTACGTAACCTCTTGCCGTCTTCTCCGATTCTTCGTCGTATATTCTCCGGTAGATGTTGAA